TTTAACTTTTTTCTATGAGTATCAATCAATACATTGTCTGTATGTATATTATACAAACTATTTTATAACTGCCAGTAGCTTAAGTCATCATACGACAAACTTCGTCATTTTGTATGTGTTCTCTGTATGATATACTATAATGACCATTTTATTTCAGCCAATTTTATTGGTTGGGATCTTTTAATAATATAATAAGCTTCTAGTTTTAGCCAATGATTGCAGGAGAATAGTCTGTTTGTGGTCATCGTATAATTAGCTTTCAATTTACACCAATGATTTGAAAAGACCAGTTAATTTCAAGAAATATTAGCAACAGCTCAATTTTCCGGGGTCTGTCTCCGCCCATATACACACATGTGAAATACGAAGGCGGGACAGAACACTGTGATTGGACTGTCGGTCTCCGCCTTAAGCTGTCAGACGGTCAAGTGTAAGGGGCAGGGGTGTCAATTGTCTTCCTTGTGTATATGTTGGAGTGCGTACAGGTACACATTGGCTTTGTTGATTGGTATATGACAGCTATCTAGGATTTTACCTTGGAAATTAGTTTATTGCAGAGGGTAGAGTTCCATGTTTGCAGCGATAGAGCATTGTGCGGGCCACATCTAAATGTTGTGTGAAACCACAGCACGAAAAAAGCACTGTCTCGTGGGACTTAGGTTCAGTTTTTCGTGAATGGGATTTGGTTTAGGCCTAGTGCAGATTTGCAGACGTCGACTCGGCTGATCAAGTATCAATAACAAAAACTTGGGTACTGTGTAAATGGGCCAGTCAGGGCCCGAAAAAGTAAAAAGAATTCATTATACCAACTGGATCCAGGCATAATCTTTGAGAATTTACAATCGTCGTGACATTTGTCTACGCTGAAACTGCATCACCATTTCTGAAATAGTTTGTGTCCTCAAAGATTGCACTCTGTGTGATCAAGTCTCGGGGATGAAAATCACACACGTGCAACTTCCGGAAATCTCTTCAAGCCGTAATCCAGAGAGGCATTTAGACTTGACGTTTAAAGCCTTGAGATCCTATTATTTCAAATGACAAGCTAGAATGAAAACAATGCATGAGTTAATGTACCCAAAATAATATTAATTAAATTAGAAAATGTATTAAAGAAAAATGTAAAAAAAAAAAAAAAAAAATGCCATTAAAGAAATATTAAATGGAAAAACGTGTGTTTTATACATTTAAAAGTGCAAACATATAAATAGGAGCACTAAAAGAACACAATGCAACACAATATTTTTACCATCGCTCTGCTTTCAATGTCAAACATGGACACTTTCTTCAGAAGACAGAAGAAAAAAAAGTCACGACAGAAATGAAATGTTTACGCACTGTGATAGTTGCGACGAGGAAAAATCGACTTAGTAACGATGATATCAGGAGAAGAGTTGTCACCGAACAATAACGAAACATATGAGTGGACATGTCAAATGGTTTGGCCATGTAACAAGACGGGCATCAAACAGGACACCACTGGGAGCAATGGTATACAGATACAGGAGTAACAGATCCAGAGGTTCACCACGCAGAATATGGAGCGAATAAAAATCAGAGGGGATAATAAAAGAAAAAGACATTTGTTAAAAAAATTATTTTAGGCCCCTGCTGTTTTTGAGGCCCTGAACTGTGTAGCTTAGTAAGCTAATGCTGAAAACCAGCAATATGTATAGCCATGTGGCACAGTTATATTGGGACACCAGAAGGCAATTACAAATTAAACTGTAGTCCAGTGGAGGAGGGTGAGGGTGAGTGCTGACTGGGTATTGCATGCACTGACGCCACTTCTCCTTGTATGTTTTCTTTGTCTCTCCATTGCCACTACAATTCATCCAGGGTCGGCTCCCCTGCACACTATTCTTCCCCTAGCGCTTGTTGGCAGGGCTAAAACTTGAAAGGATCGACTGTGTAGAACCGAGTATTATCGCGAATGACTTGGTCTCTTGTCTCAAACAAACCTCGCTCAAAGTACGAACTTCGTAGCTCCGGCAATGATCCGCAGGGATCACCGAAGAAAATAGTATCCATGAAACGGACGGTGCAGGCCAATAAATGATCAACGACCGGTGGAGTTCAAAGCAAACAGTTTGACCACTCTCCATTTTTCCTATAACAGCAAAGGTGGAAGGCTGATAAATGAAGAAATGATGTTGATGATAATTATGATGATAACAATTACGAGGATCATTCTTTTTATTTATTTTTTCCGACCTTTTTCAAATTACATTTGGCATTGATTTCACCTTGCAAGATACGCTGCATGTTATTGGTAACTAAAGGGGCCGCGTTAAAGCACAGGGTATAGCCGTTTGAGGTCTCCATCTACAAAGAGGTATAGATCCTGTCCTCAGCTTTCATAGCAGAATGTCCACGTAATCGTCGTTTTTTAACCAATGTTTTTTGTAAATCAATTTTCTTTTTAATTCAAATTGCTCTGACATTTGTTTAATCTGTCCACAGAGCTTTCGCTGACATCATCACCAACATTGGGGGTTAA